TCCGGTGATATTATCTATGTGCATGGAAATGTTTTGGATGATGGCTATTTTATGGGTGAAATGAACGGTGTTCAAGGTTTGGTACCATCAAACTTTTTACAAGAAGTAACCAACGATTCACCATCAATATCACAACAACAAGACGATATAAAGACAAATGACGTAAAGGTAAAACAAATAGTTTAATGATAAAGAAAATTTATGCCTAGTTCTACAGGGTGACCCATAAAAAACTTACCCCTTTTGTAATGATCTTTCTATAGCCTTAGAATTTTCAATTTTTGATTCGATTCTTTTTGCGATAGAAAGAGCTGAAAAAAAGCTGCTCAGTAGAACTGGTTATATTTTTGAAAAGATTTCATCATAAGCAGATGCTAAAAATGATTTATTAAATATAAAATCTATGTTGGAATAGCACATCTTTACCAGGAAGTAAAAAAGGAGCTGTAAGACAACCGCTGTTGGCTTGAAGTTTGTTGTGGTTTTTGAGTTCCTAATATTTTGTTAATGAAGAAAAGAATTCCGCATAATATCTCGGTTATTTTTTAAACATTTTTTTTTCACACGATCTTCTAAGCTTAGTGGTAATCGGTGTTATATATGCCTCTTTATTATACTTTATTAAGAAAACAAATTTTATCAATCATTTAGGCATATTTTTGTAGCCATTTAAAAGCTCTCTCTACTCAATATAATCGATCGTGATTAAAGCTAATTCAAGTGGTAAAATAGCGAAATTCATACCAAACATCTCTTTATGCAAAATATGAAATACTGTTGTTGTATAAATATTTCTATAATAGTATCAATAATTCCAAATGATTTATATGTTACTTAAGCTGTAAACACTTATAAGTACATTCTGAAAATTTATAGTCAAAATGGTGTTTTGTCGTTGAGTTATTGAATTTTTATAAAAAAGTTGAAAAACAGCAAAGTTCATTTTGTTCCAGCACAGATTTTATATTTAATAAATCTTTTTTAGCATCTGCTTATGATGGAATCTTTTCAAAAATATAACCAGTTCTACTGAGTAGCTTTTTTTCAGCTCTTTCTATCGCAAAAAGAATCGAATCAAAAATTGAAAATTCTAAGGCTATAAAAAGACCATTACAAAAAGGGGTAAGTTTTTTATGGGTCACCCTGTATTTTCTGACAGCAGCTATAACTGTACTTTCTCTCCAATAATTATAGAAATCGACATCATATAGACGGTAAGAGTTGTTAGTTGTTGTGTTCTCATATACACGCCTTGTTTCGATGTAAAGTCAGACTCTTATGTTAGTTAAATCACTGCTTTTGTTTGTCTGCATTTACACACCATGTGTGTACACTCTATCAACAAATAAGTTGTCCTTTGTATAACATTGAGAATTATCTTCTTGCATGTTTTTACTGCTAATTTTATCATTATAGTGAGTAAATAAGTTAAACTATACATAAATTTTATCTTTTCTTAAGAATAATAAATGTTGAAACAAAAAAATCTATAGTACGAATACAGTTGATATATTTTTTATCTATGACTACCAATTTTTGAACATATTTCTTTTTCAATTAGAGAATAATTATTAAGAAGTCATTCAACACAAAAACACTTCTATAATAAATATTTATTTATTCACTAATTTCTGCATGCATTGTATTATACTACGCGCATGAATAACAATCAAAAGTAAAATAGAACTAACAACAATCGCATTATGCTTTTAGCGGTCATCATCAAGTATAAGCAGTGATGATCAATCAATAATATCATCTGTATCATCAACGTTATTGAAGAAAAAAAAACAGACGATTACTGATGATTCGAAACCACTGAAGAAAAAAGATTCGGTTAATTTAGATACAAATGTATTATCAGCAACAACAGCTGTAAAACCGGCTGAGAATGAAAATGAATTAACAACAACAGAAAAAACATTAGTCGTAAAATCTTCTTCAGATGAAAAAACCGATGAAAAAGCCGATGCGAAAGCCAATGAAAAACCCAATGAAAATCCAGTGCCAGTAAAAAGTTTTTTTGATCGTTTCGTTGATACATTTACATGGAATAAATCAGAACCAATCTAATTTAATACATTCATTGAATTCTAGTGCTTCCATAATTACTTCAGTCTTTTTATAGGTCAATTTTGTGCAACAAAAACAAAAAAATATTCTTAAAAGATCTATTTTCATCTAAGACAGTAATTTTGTTTTGTTTCTTATGTACTATCCATTCCAAATACAGTTTATCCATAGTGCATTATCATTCCAAGTATTGTTGTTATGTTTTGTTTTTGTTATTTCAAAACAGTTTTTTTGTATATTATTTATCTCTATTGAACAATCTGCTCAGGATACAACCTCTTATTGTTGTTATTTCTATTTTTTATGCGATTTTTCATTGTTCAAAGTGTTGTATTAAAAAAAAACTTTTAATTTTGATATTTGAGCTTGTTGTTTCTTATTAAATAGTCTTTGCCTTTGAACAGTATTGTTTTCTATTGATCTATGTGTGTTTTCTTTTATATAAACGAATATAATACACTATATTCGTTTATATTCATGTGTTTATCTTTTGTAATAAAAGAAATGAATAATCAAAAATTACAAACTATTGATTGAACATATATTTTATTATAAAAATTAAAAATATATTAAATAACAAACAAATGATCGAACTACTGTTATTCGAAAATTTTACCTAGATGCTACTGTAGAAAATAAAATTTTAATAGTAATTATGAACGAGTTGATAATCGATATTGATTGTTTAGTAATAATTCATGATCAAAATTATTAGCAATATTTTTGAAAAGATTTGGAAATCGCTGTGGTAACAGTAATCGTTCAACGTAAGTTGGAATCATATATCTTCCAGGCATTTCGGGAAACGTAACTAATACGTACTGACTGCAATAAAAATATAAATTTAAGCGATTAAAGCCTCCTTTCGATCAATAATACAAAATTTTTCCAAAAAGATAAACACATCATTGAATAGTTCAAGATGATTGAATATCCGACTCTATGAAAGAGAGACATTCATCAACGGTTCTTGAGGGTTTTCTAGAAACTGTTTTAAATTGATAGAAAATATAAACCAAGACTCTCGGCTTCAAGCAACGTTTCGGTCAAAAGTTATTATAACATATTTATTATATACTTTGCAGTTATATAAAAAGGGCAAAAATAGGCGGAAGAATTCAAAACAAAGAAAAATTCAAAAATTCGTCTCTTTTACGTTGTTACTCTGACTCAATCTGATATTTTAAAACCAGCCCGAGTTCAGCTGTTTACTTAGAGCAGAAATCTGTCGGACAGTACATACCCGATTTTGACCCATGTTCAAACGACATTTTTTAAACGGTGGTAGACTGACTCTCAGAAATCATACCGTAACTATTCCTCAAGATTTCCTAAAATTTTCTCTAAGATCAGACTTTTGGGTGCCGAGATAGATTTCTGATTCGGAGGGGGAGGGAGGTTTAAAATACAATTGGAAAAATTATTATTACCTGCATCTTGATGGAATTGATACTGTTCTTTGTGCATTAATTATTGTTTGAGCAGGATCAAAGAATTCTGTTTTTGTTGCAGGTCTAGAGAAAAATTTAACTGCTACTATTAAGCCTATTCTCGAATAGAAACATCGTGGACGTTTTATTCAACGTTTTAAAGAAAAAACATAGACTAACTAACCGACTTCTACTTTTTGAATTGTTTGAACATATCGTTGATTTTACTCTATGCTGCAATGGTATTATATCTTTTCCATGTCTTAAAGCGCTTCTTGCTGATGAAAATGTGGTAAAAGATACTCGAGAAACCGTTACATTTGGATTAAGTTTATCACAGACTGCAAGCTGTTGATTCGATAGTAGTGCTGGTGTTTTTGTCGATATATGACTGGATAATTTATTCTCTGTACGATTTTTTAAAAGTTTTTCGCTATTTATAGTTTTATTATCAATAGATGATGTCTTTTTGCTTTGAACACTTGTTTGTGTATCGTCAGTCGTTGCTGTTGAAGGTAATGATGATTTTCGCAATGAAACTCGATAATCAACAAATGATGATGCACTTTTCGCAGAGTTGTTATTATTCAGTTTTCTGGTTAAATTATTATTAGGAATATCACAGTGGTTCGAATCAAAGGATTGTAACGATTTTTCTTTGATATCGTCGTGGATAATAGTCTCATCTTTATTAGTTTCAATCATATCTGATAGTTTACCGAGTGATGATTGAAGATTTGAATGCTCCGTAGCAATTCGTACTTCTAATGTTCGACGCGAAATTGGATTTGTTTGTGTGATTGGGGATGATGTTTGACCTTCAACAGATACAATGAGTTTCATTTTTTTCTCGCAACGATGTACCAACAATACATACATTGAATTTGTAAATTTTGTTTTTCAGAATTTGTAGCGGCATCTAAGTCCTCGTTTTTCACATTTTCGTCTTTCTCAGCTACGTACGAATCTTATATGAGAAAATATTTTGTAATTTTTCTTAGGAAAACCTATTCTTTATACTTACAATCCATATCGGATGTACTTTGGAATTCTTTGCTTACACAATGTTTGGAACTGTAAACACCATCGCTTGTCGATGAGACAGCTGATGATATACGTGCTGATGGTGCAATGTGAGTTGGCATTCGTGTGCCTATAAAACAAAATATATTCACAAAATTGATCAGGAATTCATAAAAGAAATGTATTTTATATACCTGTAACTATTTGTCGATTAAAATTATCAATGTATGTATCATTTGAGTAGTATAACTTGAATAAATTTTCAATATTATGAGTTTTTTGCATACCTTGGAAAAATGGTTTTTGTTTTGATGCTATGGGCCGAAAGAGTCGTCTTCTCACCATGATTAATGGAGTAACACTTTCTTTTCCATAACTGCCACCTGATGAACTTTTTGACTGTGTCGAAGGTGTCGGTGTCGAAGGTGAATGGCGTTGAAAGTGTGTTTTTATATATTGTTGTTGTTTATTAACAGATGACATTTGGACCGTTAACTGGAAGAAATAAGGATAAAATCTCAATATGGATATAAATTTCATATATTACTGGCATCGACTAACCTTATGATATTTATTGTTCAATAACTATTCGCTATATTATCTAGCGGAGGTAGAAAATAAATTTTGGACAAAAAAATTGAAATACTCCTCGCATGATATATCTCATTCGAAAAGTAAAGTATGAGTATAATTTGTGCACATAGACAAATTTATTTATAACATATTATATGACACTTTGGAATTGTTTTCTTTTCATTTGGTGTCAATGGCTGAAGCCTATTAATAAATCCTCACTGAACCATAATACTATTAACGTAAAGAAGAAAAAAAGTTTTTCCGTTTTTTTCCATGCTCAAAACATATTTTCAAAACTTTTAAATTATATACCGTTAATACTTGAAATTTTTAATGAAATACTATGAGTATGTTTCAAAACAAATATAAATATAAATAGATTAATTTTTTTATCAAAAGTAGCATATGTAATACTAGTTGAGTAAAAGTATTATTGTCATTGTTCTACGCAGTTTTATTGCAAAATTGTTCGACACTATTTTTTAAATACGCTAGATTTTAGACTTTTAGACAATCAAATATTCTGTAAAATTATCATTTTTTCTTCTTCTCTACTTTGTTTTATAGTCTCCGAATTTTTTAAATTCTATTCAACTTGATTGAAACACAACGTCTAATTAAAACTAGAATACTTTTTGTATTAACAAAAAGAGACTCACCTAAAATTTCGTATAAATTGTTCTGATTAACAAAAAAACAATGTGCTGACTATTGTTATATCAATAGTCCGTTTGCAATTTATACTTTAGTCATTCTATTTGTAACAAAGAAATCTATTATAATGTTAAGCCCACTAGTAAAACAAATGGGTTTCAGAGCAAATCTATACGTCAACTCTTCATCAAATTTTTTTCTTCTATTCATCATTTATAGAAATTAGTCTTATTCAAAAAGTTTCATTTTCATTTTCTTTCCTTTTTTATTTGTACGTTTTCGTAAAATTAATGTCAAGTAAAAGATCTATACGCATAATGCTTGCGAATATATAATAGGAAAAAACTTATATTCATTTTTTTTTTGACTCGATTTTCTTGATTTTTGACATAAGCGAATATTGACTTTTTTTTCTTTAATAAGAACGAAACGAGAAGTATTAAGCAAAATGTTGCAAAATTTTTTAACATCAGTAGGAAAACTTATAAATCTTTAACACAATGTATCGAAAATGAGAGTATACAGTCTAATAGTATTACAACACAATTTTATTGTATGCAATTATACTGAGAAAGTTTTTGCTTTTATTTTAAACTTTTTAGAGAGAAAATAATAATAATAAAAAAAGTTTTTGTACTTTTGACAATTCTAAGATTGATATTTTAGATCATCATCAGTAGTTTAAAGAAAAATTTATTTCATTTCTTTGAAACGACTTCTATTTGTGTTCGCATAGTGTTTTTGTTTATGACTTATTGTTTGTAATTTATCAGATATTGTACATTTATAAACAGGCTAAATTTATATGTCTATTTCTATATTGATAAAATCGAATTTCTTATAAATAAAAATGTGTAAAATAGAATAATCTTATTTAATTTTTCATTTGAAGGATATAATTGATCTTGCTGTAAAAATTTTATCAAAATAATTTAACTCGAATAAAAATCTCTTCTGTAATATTTTTACTGTATCAAATTTTAAAAAATACGATTATTAGAATAAATGTGTGATAGTCTTACTTTCACAGGAGTTTTTCCGTTATCAAGTACAAAACAATATTAAATGAACCGATTTTCAAGTCTTTATCCTTTATTTTCTTCTTTTTTTTATTAAAGATCAATAATGTTTTTGAAGGTAGATAGAAAACAAAAATGTGTGTAAAGAGAAAGTACAAAATCACCCAAACGGTAGAAACAAACCGAGCAAAAATAGTATCAATATACTTTTTACTGATGAAAAAAAAAAACCGAATGAAAACGGAACAAAAAGAATGATGATGACGATAATGATGGAAACAAAAACAAATACATGAACAAAAAAAAGAAAACAAATATAAATCAGCGATGACAATTGTGATTATCAACTGTCTTTTTTCATTGATAACGATCCTCCAAAATTGAATGAAGTTGGTGTTATTGTCGATTGCGCAAAATCATAACCGCCAGCATCACGAATTTTATTTGATTCTTGAAAATAAAAAAGAGAACACTTAGTTTGAACTTAGATTTAATAAAAATAATTAAATAGATACCTTTTTCTTGTCTTCTCTTTTCCGAATAAGTAATGATACTTTGTATACTATTCTGTTGGTCAACAGTTAAAACAGCTGTTAAAGCAGTATAATATCCACTGCTATCATTTTGTAATTCTAAAGATAATGACAAACATTACATCAAAGGACAGAGAAATTATTAGATCACTTTATCTTTTGTTTCTATGTGATCAAGATTTAAATGAAGGGAAAAAAACAGCACTTGAATGATCGTCCATGTGTATATGAGGGCTTTTATTTTTATTTTTATAAAACCTTCAGTTTATAATAGATTTCTGTGAACATACTTTGTAAACTATCCCGAAATGTTTGAAATTCATCAATATCTTCATTTGCTTCTAATACTGTTGAAAAGCTTTCTAAATCTGTTTCATCTAAATCAAAATCACTTTCTTCATCGTTATCATCGTCAAGTTCATCCAGACCATCACCACTCATTTCATGATCCGGTACCTAAATGATGCGATTAAAAAAAAGTATACAACATCGTATTAAACAATAGGCTAAAATCAACTTACTTTTCCTCTTAATTTTTCAATTAAATCTGCATCTGTTTCACAATTATCATCTTCACCGTCATCAAGTTCTACAATAAACAAGAAAAATGATATCTATTCATATTTGTTTGTATTGCATTTTAACCTTGTATATCTGAATCATCACCATCACTGGAATCCGTATCGCTGTCATCTTGACTATGAGTATAAGTTTTCATTAAGCCTTGATAAATATGAATACAATTTGGTAATAACTGTGGTACAATAGCAGATATTGCAGGATAATATTTCGGATCTATACACAACAGAGTACATAATCCAAGAGCACAAACACGTCTATCATGAACACTTTAAAATAAAAATAAAAAATAATTACTAGATAATAGATATCTAAAAAATTATTTTGTAAATTTGACTTACCCGGCAAATAGTTCACAATCAGTCATCCATTGATTAAAAAAATTAGCTATAATAGGTTGCGTTGTTGGATCACTAATGGCAACTGAATTCATTGTTTGAAAAAATAAATCTGGACTTAACCATAGCATAGTTATGAATACTTGATTTAACATTAAACGTAATTCATTTGTAACAATTTCGCGAGTAAAACGTTTTGCTATCAATTGCACTATAGCAGGCAATGCCTAAAAAATGTTGTTGTTTTTTGATACAATACAAAACTCTCAATGTAGAAACAACGTTTCAAAATATGAATTAAGATTTGATTACAATAAATAGTCTTATTTCTCAGTGTGTTTCTCAATTTTTTAGCATTCACTGCTGATAACGTCGAACGTTTGTCAGATAAAACGTCTTTGAGAATAAGACTATTTCTTCTCACTAATAAATTATTATCTCATTCTAATTCTCTTAATTATCACTAACTACCAAGCAGGGAGATTGTATTTGACTATATTATAAATTACCGTATAAAAAAGAATACTTTAAAGAAACAACATACCATTGTGATATGATCTTGACATTGTAATATAATAATTTCGATTAATTTAGCAGCATGAGCTTCAGAATCTTCGCCTAAATCATTGGTGATCACCTAAACAGTATTAGAAGATGAAATAAAAATACCTAGTTATTATTTATTTAGTTACAACGTACATGTTTACACATTTCAAATACGGTTTCTAATCGATCAGGTTGTGATATAAATGACTGAGTATCGTTGATTACATAATTATGCAAACAATTCATAATTTCTAAATAATAAGAGCAAATTATTTATTTAATGTTTTGTTTTGTTTTACAAACATGTATCTTACCGGCAAAATAGTCAGCTGCATCGCGAAAAAATGCGTCTTTAATTACATAAAATACTTGCCACATCAATGGGCTAATATTGTTGATTGTCAATGTATCAATTAATGTTAAAATTTCTTCATAAAAATCTATATAGAAGAGAATCTAACATATAGTATTTTCAATATTCAAATCATTTTAAAAACTTACCGAGTATTCCGTTATTAAGAACCATCACGATTGCTTCATAAACTATTGCTTCGATTTGAACTAAAATCTGTAATAGAAAAAAAAAATTAATATCAGTGAATATTTATCATTATTGACTATTCTTATCTTACATCTTGTTTATCATTCATACAACTAATAATTGTATCAAGAGTATTTAAAACACCCATTGCAGCGACAGTTCGTTCTTCTGCTTTTGTTTCATCATTCGATGTATTTTCAGCTAAAACAACATGTTTAAAAAATTCAACCTAAAGAAAACAAAAGTCTAATTCTATATATCAGTAGAAATATTCAATTTTTTTTACTAGTTGTGATGTCATTTGTACGGCAATCGGCTGCAATTCTGTATCAAATAGTCCAACAATTTTCTGCAGAACAATCATAACATCATCAATTTCTGTCTGACGAATTATTTCAATTATTTGCATAACAATAGCTTGTAGATGAGGAACAATAAACTGTTTTCCTATAAGAAAATAGAAATGTCACACAATAATGACTAGTATCTTATTCTAATGAGTGTAACATAAAAGAAATTATCATACCCTTTTCGCCATCACTATCAGATATAAATAAATTTAACGCCATAGCGGCTTCAACTTTCACTGGTAAAGAAGTATCATGACATAAACAACGAATAAGAAAATTTAAACAATGAGCAAAATTTTCTGGTTGAGAAAATTCTAATTTTGAAAAATTTCTCAATGCATAACAGGCCTAAAAAGGAAAAATCAATTATTCTACTATAATTTAAAAGAAAGATTACATACTCTTGCTCGTAGATAGGGTGTTGGACTCTGAAGTTCAGGAAATAAATATTGTACAATCATGTTTTCAAGCTGACTAGTGAACGTTTTTTTCTAAAACACAAAATTCATTTTTTGTTTTCGATTATTATTCTTATTCTTATTACAGTAAAACGTGTTTTTTACTTTAATTAAAACATTTCCAATAACTCCTAACATGTGTAAAACACCATCTTTTTGCTTGAATGTAATGTTTTCGTTGTGTATAACTGTTCCTAAGAATGTAACAGTTCTCATTAACACATCCTTTCGTTTGCATGCAGCTTCGTTTAAAAACAATTCAGCTGCTGATACTGGATTGATATATTCGTCTAATATATCTATGAAAAAAGAGAAAAATATAATAAGATTAAAAGTGAAGTGAAATATTTAAATGTAATACCTAAACGTGCACGAACAAATTCAACCGGTTCATCATTGAATAACTCAATATCGTCATCGCTAATACATAACAACGGATAAATAATATCTTGAATTAACACAACAATATTATTCGCAACCAATTTCCACGAAAATGCATGCCGCACACTGCAATGAAAACAAGTTTATTTTCTAATTTAAAGTTAGTACCTTGATTTTTAACCTTTCTCGAAGATAATTTAACGATAATTGTATAACACGTGGAGAAATAAAAATTTTTCGCCTATAGAGATCAAGTAAATTGAATATATTTCCAATAACTTTAGCTAAATAGAAAAACGAAGGGATAAAATCACATTGATAACTCATGGTTTGTAATATTCATATGATGAGCAACTATATGTCGAATTTGATAAAGAAATATAAACATGATAGATCATGCGTACCAGAAAATCCTTTCAAATAAAATTGTGCAAAATCCAGTTTCTCTGGTGTTTGTTGTGTTTTTGCGAGATTAGCTGGACTTCCATATCTAAATAAACAGTGAGAATTTAATGAGAAGATTAGAGCATGCTTTCTTATATACCGTTCAAATGTTCTTATAAGTATGTGAAGTGCCCATTTTTTCAATTTCCACCATGGTTCTTCAGCTCGATCCTCTTCTGGTATTTCATTTAGTCGTGCAGGCAATTGTCTTTCTAATATTAAACAACATGTATCAAGCCAATGAGCCATTGTTTCTTTCGGTAGTACACGAAAACAAAGATGAAGCTATAAAGAAAAAATCTCAATCCTTTTCGTACATGTAAGACATGCACCTCTTACTTGTATGTAAGCATGAAATATTTTTAATATTTGTTTTTGTGTTAACGCCGATTCATTTGATTCATCATGTGTAAATAATTGCATTAAACGTTGATGCATCAATGGCAATAGGACAATCATAACATCATCCAATGGACCACGATCCTCTAGTTTCTTATATCTAGAAAAAAAAACAGAAGAATATTCTGTTGCTTATGGAAAAATCAGACAAAAATTTACTCATAATTTTGGACAAGCGTATACAACACTAATAATACACTTAGCCACTGATTCAAATTATCAGCTGATAAACATGTATGAATTTGAGTGATAAAACCGGGCCATTTTGAAGGAAAATCACTTTTGATCATTGTACCAGCAGTTGTGATTAACTGACATCTTAAAGAAAACAAAATTTTATATACTTTAAAAAACTCACACTACTCACAAACCTCAAAGGATCCTTAACGTGAATAACAGCATCAATCAAAACATTTCTCAAATAATCTTTATCGACGTCCGATATTGTAAATAACTTTGCCGACGGGTTTGGTTTTGTAAGTGCTCCCAATGTAATGATGTCATCATCACTCGAATCCGTTGAATTTAGATCACACCAATATGTATTTACGTGATTTTTTAAATAGATTGCACCTATAATACATAGAGGAGAAATTAATCACACTTACTACTAAGCAATTTAAACCTACCGGCCTGACGAATAGGTGTGTCAAGTTTGTCATTTAAAATAATTTGCACGATACATGGGATAAATCCAGGAGACTTGCAAAACTAAAGTTAAAGATTCAGTTAGTTTTCAAGTAAAAGTTCTCCATCTTTTATGAGAAAGTGTAAATTGATAGCACTGTGAACAAGGAAGTAATTCACCATCGAAAACTGAACTCTACTGTGGTTTCTACCGTGCCCATAATATTTCCACGTGTTTCTAACTGTAAATCTGCTTGTGAGATGAATTTTGATTCATTTGTAACTTCTAATTGTAATACTTATTGTAGGACGTTGATATTCCCGTGGAAAAATCCACCATAACAAAAATTTCTATTAAAAATGCTAGTGTACATTTCTAGCAACTTAAATTGTATTCAGTTCTCTAACAATTAAAAAAAGCTTGACGGCCTCAAACTTTTTTCCACAAATAATAACCAGTTCTTGCTGCACAATACTCGTAGATCAACATCATAGCAAAATACTACAATTTACATATATAAAAAACATTACTTCAACTAGTTTTTCTTCGGCTTTTTCACGTAATTGTGGATGTAATGTTGCCTGAAGCGCTTCGATCACAGGATTAATGTCCATATTTTGAACGCTTGTAACACAAGAAAAAGGTTATTGGAAAAGAGTTTTCCTTGTCTGAAATTAAATAAACAGATAGTTAAATCTGAACTGTAAAGCAAACTACTAAGATCTTTCTCCCGAATTGTTGCACAATAAATTCGAACCTCCAGAAAGGTGCAAACGACACTGAACCTAAAGTAAACAGAATGAACTACACATCATTTGAACCATTTTTGAATATTAATCGTTGACTACGATTACGATTTATTTAAATCACTAATGAATGAAAGATCATCAAAGGTTATGTAGTTCTAAAACGATGTATACATTAAAACCCGCCGACTGTATCAAAAGTAAACCCTGACGTGGATTCATCTTCTGCATGGCTCATGTGGGTCGCGACCACTCACGAAACTGATAAGATGGCCTTGAAAGACTGGGAAAATGGGACTCGCTTCCAGGGTCTTGTTTATCTCTCAATCTGCCCACATAAGAGGAATAGATTTAAAGTGTTCGATGCCTTTTTCGAGGTTTGTCAATTTCCGTCAAGAGAAAAAACACTACTGAACTAGTTAAGGTGTTTCCAAAAACGTTTCTCACCAGCTTTCTAGCCTGGAAAGTGTAAAGCCTTACACGGGAAATGAAAAGGCTCAATTCCTCCCTGAAGATACAGAGATTTGAAAAGCTGAAGAGAGGTAGTGTTAAATTTAGAGAGGGCGTGCGACACTATTTCCCCAACGGAAAACTAATGAATACCCACCAAAAAATTGCAGTGGTTGCTCCTGGTCTTGCGTAAATCAAATGAATGAATGCATCGTAAGAAGTTAGCTGTAAATAACGCTAGTCAGAAATGGCTGTCGTTTACAGCGACAATTTTAGAAGCTGATTCGTTGAGCACGTCCGTCGATGATCTAGCGTCATAGATGATGTTTGGTTCTCATGTTCGCCATTCTGACTCTACAAATTTATTAAATAGACGCTCACAGCCAGTCTTTATACCGTTTTTGAATTTAGTTCTTAAAGATTAAGATATCTTTCCAGCAAAATGTAGTAGCAGCATGTGTGCTGTACAGTTATCGTTCACTTCTTATTGGTGTGATTCTTTCGTTCTATATTTTGCTTCTTTGCAAATGAAATCGATAGAAATGCTGAAAAAATGGTGGTTTGGAGACAAAAACAGCTTTTGCTGCTAGAATCCGCTGTTTGATATACTATCGTATGAATGAGATAACAGGATAAGACTGACACATCGTTTTAGTAAGGGAACTGTTCTATCTGTGCTCAATTTCCTTTTCAGTCAGAATAACTAGAGTTTTGCGTAGTCGAGATTTCTTTTACCCTCGATTGAATTAGTGCATTCTACAATTGACACGTAACATTTATGGCCCCTCGCTGATAGTGCGAGAACGCCACACGTCACAGTTAAGGATATATTAATTTTAAGTCCGTGATGTAGATCAACATTCACATGTTTTCCATATAAAATCCTTTTCAATATGATCCCCATAATATAATCACCATTTCGCGAATTACAGGAATAATTACAAATTCTAATGAAGATCATAGAAATGTTTTACTATTATTAGAGTTCTAATCAATTTCATTTATAAACTCTGCAATATGTGAGCGCGAAATTTGTGGATCTAATCCGATGCAAATGAATAGACTCCGACGGATAATCGTTAACAGATTAGATAGCTTATTGAACGTGTCTTTTTACGAAACTATGATATGAAAAAATTAGGCCAATGAAGTACAAACAATGATTTGATTCTTTTTGATTGTCAACAACAGTGTTTTTTTACCGCTGATTGAAATAAACTAAAAAAACTAAGAGATAGTACAATAGAAAGTGTGGTTTCAATTCCAGTTGAAACTGCAATTTACTGTTGTCACCAAGTAAATAATTAATGTTGTTCTAGATGATTGTGCAACGTTTGTCTTCTTCAAGTATTAATTCCAACAGCTGCAGCTACTTCTTTTTTAGGATCATTGTGTAAATATGCATAAGGACAAACAAGAAGCAATAGCATCCTTATATACACGGATATAGTTGTGAACAAACAATTAAAAGCGTTAGTAAACGTGAAATAGATTTATATTCTTTTGTTTTGTTCATATTTTTCTATTATTTTCTAAAACATTTCAATAAATATGAACAAGCAGGTTTTAATAAAAATAATTTTATTTGTTTTAAAACAAGAACTGTGATATTTATTAGAACTTATAAATTACTTGTATGTTTTAAGATTTTTTTGTTGGGTTGGAGAAGAAAGCAACCTACGGTTTTCAAAATTTGGTTCGATTGACCTGATATCATTGAAAATGACAGTTCACGCCAATGCTGGTCTGACGGTATTGTTTTTAGATATTGGCTTTGTAGAGAAAATTAGACAGTTTGATGTGAGTGTCACTACATGACGTTTGTAAAAATTATAAAACTTTTCTTAATATTCGTTTGTAAAAAAATACATTTTTTATTGTTGCATGTACGACATAATTATACATTCGTACATGTACTTGGATTTCTTTTAAGTTAAACTAAGAGAAAATTTCTGCATTTTTCAAAATTTATGTGAAAACATATTTAGTAAAACGATTCTAACTTAAACGATATTTCAGTTTATGATAATGTTCTTGTTTAGAATACCATAAAAATAGTCTATGATGGAATCGATCAATTGAATCTGATCTTTTAGTCAAGTTTTCTGACTGCTGTAAGAGATATGCTGTTCTCATAAAATGAATATAACAAAATTTTCCTTAATCAAAACTACATACTAGATTTTTCGAGCTTATAAAAGCTGTACCATCATTTGATACTCAACTCTTACAAGTATATGGCGATATTTCGATTCCTTTCAAGGAGAGACTGGATTATGATAAAAGTTTTGTCAATTGTAGCTTCACTGTGAGGATGTTTTTGTGAAAGCTTGGTTTTGCATTGCGTTTGTGATGGAATGGGTTTACTAAGCATATATTTTCGATGTTTTCACATTAAGCGATATTTTTTTCTAACTGGTTGAAGAAAAATATATATTGTATATGTATTCAACAAAGAGAGACATTTAACCACAAATAATAACGTTTACTACATTTGTGCGATTGCAATGAAAACTTTAAAATTACTTTAGAATAAAGTTACAACCGTTTGTAAAATATAAGAAATTTAAGTTTAAGTTTTTAACAAATGAAGAGTAAAATGTATATGTTGCTTCCTGATGTTTATGAATGAAACTTGTAGACAAGCGTATTATTGGTAACGTTCAAATTAGATTTAGATTGTTTTTTAGAATATCATTATTTGACATTATTATTGAAAATTATGGAAATAGAAAAACTGGATATTGATTCAATCTTTATTAAGTATACGATAAAAGAAATTGTTGAACATGTTGATCAAAAAATTAAAGTTGATATGGAAAGGAAAAAAGAAGAGTTAAGATCAATGGTTGGGTAAATTAAGTTTATTAATCGTATGATATATCTTTTCTAATTTCATATAATTCGTTTAGCGAACGATATCGAGATTTAATCGAAGCAGCCGATGAAATTTTTAGTATGAAAAAATGTGCAAAAGGAGTAAGTTCATACAGTAAGTTAAATCAATTAGCTAGAATTATTGTTTCTCTTTTTTAAGGTTGAGACATCTGTTCATCTGTTGAATGAAAAGTGTTCAAAAGTCGATAATGTTATCTCGTTCCAATCAGGAACAAAGTAAGGATGTTATTTAAAGTATAAAACTAATGTTTGTTTATTCTTTCCTCTTGTATAGAAAAGGAAAAGATGAACCAGAAATGTCGTTGGCAATTGCTGTCAGAATTCTGACAGAAACAAGACGTGTTTGTTGGATGTATTTAGAAGAAAATAATTTCATAGCAGCTGCTCGGTAAGATTATTGTCATCGTATAAGAGTATATTTACTCAAGACTTTAATCCAAAGTTCATTTTTGACTATTCAAATAATAATAAATGGTGTTAACTATTCATCATTTTGACAAATCATCTTTTTCTGTTATTTTTCACGTTTTCATTTCCTATTCTAGACAATATTTGTTGGCTGCACATATGGCATCATCATTTGAACTACGAAACAATAATGATGGAATAGAAAACATCGATTTAGAAAGCCAAAAAGCTATCGTTTGTGCAACACGTTTATGGCATCAAACACGTCATATAAAAGCAATTATTTTGGAAAAAGCTCGAGCGTATTTGAATGTAAAAGATGCTGATGTAAATGTAAGAAAAGAAAAAATTTACTGAAACATTTCGTTGCGTGTCTTTTTTTAAGTCGTTAGGAAATGCTCTGTCGACGTTGATCGCATTTGGAAATAAATCGATTGATCATATTTTAACGGAATTTTTGAATGCAAAATTAGTGAGTAGTAGAATTTAGTATACATATTTCTCTGCATACATTACTTTTAAATTATTCTATTTAGTATTCGATCAAGGCTTGTTACCAAAACGTTGATATCAGTAAGTATAAAATAATAGTTTTCTGAAGAAGAAAAATAGAGTTTCTATTCTTTTTGTATTTCAGAGCAAAATTCGAAAGATTCAGTTCGACAATTGTTAGTATTATTCATTAATACGATATTTGAAATTGATATGTTGTTTAGTAAAAATGACGACATTGAAAAAGGTATTTACATCGTGTCATTTATACAATCTACATAATTTAAGTGATCACTTTCCGTAGACGCATCCATCTTTCATAAGTCTATGATTGTTGAGGAGGTTTTGGTTTTATAAAATTAAATTTAATGGTCTTTTAATGATGTTTCACACTAAATTTTAGATGAACGTGATTTATTGAAAAAACATGTTTTGCTATTTTTCTCTCCAAATTATTCACCAAAAACGGCGTCGTCAGCATCACCACAAATTATCAAAGCAGAACAAGATTTTTTTAAAAGTAGGTTCATTCATCATACAGTGCACATGCAATTAATATTTTTCCTTTTTTTGGATTTTATTTCAGATTGTGAATCTGTCGATATGTCTACATTTAGTGAACAACAAACACAACTTGTGAAAGATTCAGTTGAAAAATGGTTAAAAACGTAAGAGTAATGCGTCTATGGTATGTATCTTTTCATTTTCTCTGATTTATTGTGTAGAATGCTTGAAACTGTTAAAATTGGTCTTGGCGAACTTCTTCGTTATACTTCGTCGTTGAAAGCATTATTGCATCTAAAATCCAATCTTATTAATTTAATGTCAGAAGTAAGTCATATTATTTTTGTTCAGAATTTGCGATTAAAGTTTTAAAATATATTACAGGATCGAATGAAACATTGGCAAACTGTTTGTAGTCGTTTGTTGAATACAAATATGGAAATATCTTTATGGGATGATATAATTAAACTAGAATTACGTGAACAAGCAAGAGTAAGTTCTTTTTCTGAAATTATTGTTAACAGTTTTGAATGTTTTTGTACGATCAATTTAGAAAGTTTTACATGCACGATTTGATCAATTTAATCGGACAGCATTAAAAAAAGTAGAACAAAAATTGTCAGCATTCCAAATGAATTCTTCAGGTAAAATGGACAAGTAAGATAACTGCACTTATTTAATAGTTTTACGTTTTATATTTATCTATCGCGTAAAACGTACTATGTAAATAAGTATACCAATTTTTGCATTTTAGATCGACAGATACAAACGTTCTTGATTATATATGGAGTGATATTGATAATGGTATACCAAGTGATTATGTATGGAGTCCATCGACAAATCGTATTCCCATTGGTGATGCGAAATTTAGTTTAAAAGCAGTTGCTATACCAATGGATTTACAAATGTAAACAAAAATTACTTTTTATTTGAAAAAATCTAAATATTTTTATTTATGATTTAGATTATGTCGAGAGTTTGACGATGAACTTAATCAAATATTGATTGATGTTAATGAATTTTCATCAACTGATACACCAGAGATGGATAATTTAAATGTATTTCCGACAATACAATCAAATGTTGGATTTTTTGATGATAGGAACTTTGTTGTTGATCATTTAGAAGAGTGTGTTATCAATTTGTGTACAACGTATGTACATTGACACAGTTATTTCTAAGCTCACTGATTACTGCTTTTAGTCTGGTGACTCATCTTAGACAATTAGCAAATGATAATGAAAAGTCAAAGGACGAAGAAAAATTTAGTGCAAGGTATTTTCTCAGTTTATTCTCGAATTTTCGATAATGAACTAAATTATATAAAATTTGAAATTTTTATTCTTTGTTATAGTTTGATATGGCTTGGTGCTTGTGCTCGTGCTATACCTATTGCTTGTAAAAATTTAAAGAATTCACTAGACGTAGCAAATGAAACCGGAAATAGTTCAACAGAAAAGTAATTTCTAAGTGAATTAGTGGATGCAAAAAAAACACTGACTACATTATTTTGAATTCAAATAAAACTATTTATTTTTTAGAAAGATTCGATCGATGCCACAATCTGCTGTATTCAAGCGTTCAAATGTAAATTACAAAGTAAGAAACGAAAAAAAACGAATTATTAAAACAAAAGACAATTAAATTTTGTTTGGTTCAGGCAGAAAAACCCTCGTGGTTAAAAACACGTGATTTGTTCATGACAACACATACAGATCTTTTCAAGTATGTTACTCTTATCTTTTAATCAAGAACAGTAAATCTTTTAAACTTTCTTCCTTTTTTTTTCAGACAATGGATAAAACATATTTGTTCAATAGTCGATGAACAATTAATAATAAATTTGAAAACATTTCTCGATGATTTACCAAATTTGGTATTTAAATTAATTATGACGGCACGTCTTCTTCTTATTGTTAATTTATCCTTTTTTATTTAGATTTGGGATGAAGTTGAAATTGAAGAAAGTCTTGATACGGATAAATCATATAAGAGTGTTATTCGTGTTCCAATGTATTGTACACCATTTATAGAAGAAATATTATTTAACGTTTGTCAACAAATCAATAGAGCTTTGGCACATGGTTTAGAAAAGTAAGATTTATTCCATTGAGTAAGTTAGTGTATTTGTTATGTTTCGTCTTTACATCATAGAGATTTATCCGTCGAAATGGCATCAAGATTATTGTATACATTTTTGAATGTTTATGAATCATGGTTAACAGACAATATTAAAAATTCGACAAAAAAACGAATTCAAACACGAATTATACAAATCATCTATGATTTACGTTTTGTTCATATGTTATTAGAACGAAAAGATGGTTCTGTGGTAGATATCTAATTTATTTACAACGTCTTAAATATAATAAAATTTGTTTTTCTTTTGTTGTTATTAGAGTGCAAAAGAATTGAATGAACGTTTTATGAGATTAATTGATAATATAGAAGCTGAAGTTGATCCATTTGATTTAAATGTACTTTCACCATATATGCAATCTCATTTACAAAAAATGGGACCAAGATCATCCGTAAGAACAAAAAAAATGATTCTGATCAATGTTTATATAACGTATAATGTTTTCTTCTCTCACCGCATGGGAGGTTTATAAAAAAGGATATTATTTTTCTCTTATTTTTTTTAAATTTTAGCTTTTATTCGGTCATTTAGTTAATAATGATCGTTTAATTCCATCGAAACCATTGCCGATGAATACTCAAGATGCAAATAATATTCTTTCATTATCAACGTGTTCACAACGTTTTTCATTATTGCCTATTGCTGGAAATATGAATATAACAGCAACTAATTCGTCGTCAATTATTCCTAGTTCATCATCAAAAATAAAAGTACTTTCATCAACTGCACAAGGACTCTCTACATCGCTAGCTACCAACTCGGACACAGAACTGACAGCAATAGCTTCCACACCCTATAAACCTATAGCATCGAATGTTGCGGAGGTCGCAACCTATTACAGTAAATGGTTTTCCAGTATGGTGAAATGAACCTATGTGATCTATATGTATTCCATGCAAACGAAGTTTAAATATTTGGGCATTTTGTCTTGTTTTTTTTTTTCGTTAACTTTAAATTATTTATAGTCCTATTTGTTATATATTATTATGTTTAAGTTTAATTGCAATAAAATAAAAATGGTATCGCTATGAATATGATATTGTCAAAGGGAAGAAAAGTCGAAATGACTCTATATTTCTGTTTATTTTGTTCACACCATAAACTAAAATTTTATTTAATCTTCTCTCTCTTCTCTGTCGCTCTCTCTCTGTTTCAAGGAAACATCCTATCCTACGAAAATTATTTTGCGAGCAACATTTGATATTATGTACGTTGGTTGGAATTTTTGGCATAATCGAATGTGAAATAAAAAACGGTTTCTCACTGTATTGTGGATAAAAAAGCGAATGGACTCGAGTGTATTTTTGAATAACGTTTGACAAGAAAGAGATAGAGACTTCTGCTTTTCACTAGTTGAAAGCCATGACTTGACTGCATCTTTGCATCATTGGCATCATTTTGAATCTCTTTTTTCAAAGTAGGTTTTTCAGAGGATATTTGGAAAATCAGGTCATCACCCGAAAACCTGAAATATGAATATTTTGACTTTTTCACATGGGTAGATAGCTCAAGGTGTCGTCGTCAATATGGGAGTCAAGCGAGGCATTGATTTTCATTGGTTGAAGCGGGATATTAGATTTTCTTGAAATCTAAAGACTATTATCCGGTACATGGTTTCCGATTGTTCTCAGGGATGGAAGGGGCTAAAAAATTTTCTTCGTAGAAAGTAGCTTGACTCCCATATTGACGACGACACCTTGAGCTATCTACCCATGTGAAAAAAGTAAAAATTT